TATTCCTTCTCCTTGAGTGTAGATTGAACCCAGTGACTTGGTTCTAACAAATGGAATATGGCAAAGTGAGGGGCTGTCATCTCTGTAATTAGGTTACAAAACATTGTGACTTCTGTTTCATTAGCAGACTCTCTCTATTGGCTTTTCAGCTTGTGTGCTTTGGTGAAACAAGATGTGGCACTGGAGAGGACTGCATGGCAAAGAGCTGAGGGTGCCCTCCAGCCAACAGTCAGCAAGGAAAGGAGACCCTCAGCACAGGAGCCCGCGAGGAACCGAATCAACCACGTGTGTGACCTCAGAAGGGCGCTCTGCTCCAGTTGAGCTTTTAGATGACTTCCCAGTGGACACCTTGATTGCAGCCTTTAAAAGACAGCAAAACAGAGGACCCAGCTAAACTGCACCTGGATTCCTGACCCACAGAAACTGAAATAAAAATTGCTGTTTTAAGGTACTAAGTTTCAGGGGAAATTTGTTATGCAGCAATAGACAACTAATTATACATTATAAATATAATTATAAATATACATAATATAACTATACTATTTATACTACTTACACATAATATAAAAACTTTAGGTTGTACTAAGTGCCATAAGGAAAAAAACCGGAGAGTTCGGTGTGAAAATTACCTAAGTAAAATATGCTGAGAGGTGGGGAGAGCAGGGAAGCTAGCTGAGAAGGCAGAAAGAGCTCTCCATACTTGAGGAATTGGAAAACCTGGCTGTCGGGATGCTAACGCGCAAGGGGGACATCAGAGATTAGGGACCGTCCCAGACTATGCTTCTACTGTAAGTGCAGAGTGACTCATTAAAGGGTTTTAAGCAGGTGAGAGTTCTAACCCAATTTATGCATTAGGGTTATTCTAACTCCTGCATAAAGACTGACTGACTTATACAGGACAGCGAGAATGGAAGCAGGGAGACTAGTTAAGAGTCATTTGGGCAGGAATTGAGATCATTCAGATGCGGGCACTGGCAGGGGAGGGGGGGNAGCAGCCATCAAGCGGGTCCGGCGGGAAACTCCCACCGTCGAGGAACAGTTCCGGCAGGGGTAGGGCTCCGGAGCTGTCCAGGGGCGCCTGGTGCTGAATGCCTCGTGGATGGAGGCTCGGCGGTGGACTGGAAGCGATTTCCCAGGGGACACGGTCCCTCTCCGAGCGTCCTCGCTGCTGATGACCTTCCCGTGTGCTTTAGAAGCAGATTTATCGGTTCAACAAATCTGTGTTGATAGATAGGAGGATTAAGTTAGAGTACATCATGGTGACTACAGTTAATAACGATGTATCGTATTCTTGAAAATTGCTAAGAAAGTAGATTTTAAGTGTTCTCACCACCCCCCAAAATGATAAGTTTGTGAGGTAATGCACATGTTTTTTAAAAAGTAAATGTCCCTTGAGCTCCTGCTACGTGCCAGGATCTTCTAGGAGAACATCTGTGAACAAAACAAAGATCTCTCCTCTTTCGGAGCTTATGCTCTAGGAGAAGACACAGAAAATAATCGATAATCGTAATAAGTAAGGGAGCTATGTCAGAAGGTGACAAGTGGTCCAGAACAATAGTCCAGTAAGGGCTATGAAGAGTGCTGAGTTGCTGTTTTAAATAAGGTGTTCAGGTAGATTTCATTGAGAAAGAGATTTGAGCAAGGACTTGAACCAGGACAAGTTAGTCGAGTGGATACATGGAGGCAAAGCGTTCCACGCAGAAGGAGCTGAGAAGATGGAGAACCTCAGGTCAGGAGTGTACAGGAAAGCCAGTGCGGCCAAAGCAGAGTCAGGTGGGGAGGCGTAGTTGGAGATGAGGGGAGACGGATCATGAAGGGCCTTAGAGGGCCTTGAAAGAACTTTGAGGGAGATGAAGAGCCATTGCAGAATTTTGGTCAGTGATAGACCCAACATGTGTCAATATTGCTGATAGTTCTAGTAAAATCAAAACCGACTATTGACCATTGAACTTTTTAGATAGGGAGAAGAAAACATTGAAAAAAAGATTGCTCCATGGCTCCATCAAAGCCACCACATTAATGGAGAAGATCATATTCATTTACTAACTAAAATCTTTTTATGGGCCTGCCATGAGCTAGGCATGGAAAGAGATGCTGAGCGAAATAAGCCAGTTACAAAAAGACAAATACTGTGTGAGGCCACTGATGGGTGGTCCCTAGAGTAGCCTAATTCATTCACACAAAAAGTAGAGTGGGGGGTGCCAGGGGCTGGGGGAAGGAGCATGGGGGGTTAGCATTTAATGAGGACAGAATTTCACTTTGGGAAGATCAGAAAGTTCTGGAGATGATGGTGGTGATGGCTGCACAGCCAAGTGAATGTGCTTAATGTCACTGAACTGTGCACTTAAACATGGTTAAGATGGTGAATTTTATGCTATGTATATATCACGACAAGTTTAAAAATAAATTTTTAAAAAATTTAACAAATAAAATTGGAGACAAAACAAAGCCCCTGCCCTCAAAGTTCACAGTCTAATAAGAGAAGTAAGTATTAATGAAGTAAAAACACACTGTGGTATGCAGACTTCTAAGGTGATCTCGAATGGTTCCCATCTCCTGGTATTTATTTATACCTTGTGCTATTCCTTCTCCTTGAGTGTAGATTGAACCCAGTGACTTGGTTCTAACAAATGGAATATGG